CAAGAATGCATCGGTATTGGTGAGAAGTTGTACGTTGTGACGGGGGGGAGCGCGGATCAAGCTTATCCTGGCTGGATCCTTGGTGTACTTCCTTGATGTGTGGGTCCGTGACGATCTGCCGCCCGACTACCAAGCCTTCCTCGGCATGGATTACATGGCCCCAGCCCGGATCCGGTTAGATCTCGGTGACGGATCCATGTGCTTGCCCGACGAGATCAAGATCCCGCTTCAGGGGCAGCGATAGCTCTTCAGCGATCGCGATCGCCCTCTATTGATCGTCCAACACGTCAAGATTGACGTGGGTGAATCTTTCGAGCTTCCACTGCGTCTGCACCTGTCGGATCAAGAGAAGTGATGGTAATGAGAGGCAAGTAGTGGGTGCCAACGCTAACGCAGGGCCCAGGCCGGATCCGCTACATACAACTTACCAACATTGGTGAGACGAGTGTGATCCTGCAGCGGGACGAGCGGATCGGCATGTGGTTGACAGGGGATCATGTCCCTCGCCAACCAGGCTTCGTCTCCCTTGGATCCAGGCGGTACGCGGAGTGGCAAAACCCCGTACTCAGTGCCACCACTGAAACGCCCCCAACTGTGCCCCCGCCAGAACCTTGGATGCTTGATCCCGCCGTGGATCGGCCGGAATACCGAACTCCCGAGAGGATCTTGGAGCGAACAACAACCGCAGCAGTGTCGAAGTTTACTGTGGATCCCCTAGTACAAGGATCCACCCCAAGATCTGCCGTGGATACGAATCAAAATGGTAGAGTTGAGGATCGGCAGCACTTCCCAGGCTATGTGTATAGTAAGGGCGGACCAAGTGGCAACACGCAATGCGACAAGAGAGATGGGACATCTGTTGAACCTGTCTATGTGCATAGAGTGGACGGATCTGTTTGCACGTTCGCAAGAAATGCACGCCAACGATGCACGGCAGTCAATTAGCACGAGCGTCATGGCGTACCTCGAAGACGGGAAGGCTGCAGGGCCGCACGGACCAGATGTCCCTTGTAGCCCAGATCATGGGGCGTCTGATGGCGTGCGACACAACACCGCCCGACTTCTGGGAACTGAGATATATACACCGCCGTTGAGGGCTCGCCTTACGGCTGTCTCATGCGCTCGAAGGCATTTGTGTGAACCGTCGCCTGATTCTGGACTGATTCCAGAAACTGATACCGAACTTAGGCGGGATCTTACACCGACACTTCCAGCAGTGAAATACGGTGGAAGCGAAGTGCCAAGGCGCAGGAAGGCCGCTGCCTCACCGGAGGACTCAAGTACACACCTGACAACCGCGCAAGGCACAACGGATGTACCTGACGGTGGCGAAGGTGTTAATATACATGGATCCTGTGACACGCGTGCTGGTGCCGACGGATGCGGATCCGCCGCAGGCGATAACAGGATCGAAGTGATGCTGGACTCAAGGACGTCTCCAGCCACCCCGGCAACTCGAGCGACGGATCAACTTGTTTCCCGAGGAACCCTGGAAGAAGCCCCAGCTGCCGCAAGTGTTTTGAAGGATGTGGAGTCTGTGGAAGTGGCGGAAGTCGAATACGCCCCTATGCCGGCGCTGGATCCGCTATCGAAGGACTTCCAGGTATCAAGATGCGATCGAGCCACAGAGCCAGACTCTGAGGTAGCTCATCATGGTAAACAAGCTGATGCTATCGATCACGTGGAATCCTTCAAAGACTATGGAGCTGGATCTGCCGTGCTGGATCCGATGTCGGTCGATGATGGAGGATCCGGTGAAGATCAAGCTAGAGATCCGTATCCTGGATACGGTCCGAAGGCGGATCCCGCTGCTGTGATTAGTTTCAATCCAGTGAAGCGTCATGAAGGCTGAGGTGTTGGATCCGTCACGAGATTCGTCATCCCAGTGCCGGATCCGAGGTTGAAGGATCTTGAAGAACATGGCGCCGGATCCACTGCGGATCCCAGCATGGAAGTGCCGAATCCGAACTCAGGAAGCCACGACACGTTGCGTATAAGATTGGATCCTGATATGCGACCGCACGACGAAGACTGTAAGACTGGGTCCACCTCGAATCCGGACGTGCAAGTGTCGGATCCTGAGCCTGAAAGGTTCAAGACCCCTTTTAAGAGTCAAGATCCGGCCCCAGATCCAAGCAAAGAGACTTGTCACCACGATGGAGGTGCAGTGCACGCCGAAGACTACGACGGTGATTTGGCTGTGCTCCCAGAAGTGACCGCCACTACGGCCGAAGTCCGGATCCAGGATCTCCACGTCGGAGATCCTGAGGCGAACCCACCAGAAGAGATCCAGCGGTTGGTTGACATCATTTGGGATCAGCGACACTTGCTCATCGGGAAGGGCAATGCCTTACCCACGGCTACTGTTGGTGCTGTGTGTGACATCGACGTCGGCGACGCGAAGCCGATCGCGCAACGCGTGCGCAAGGTGGCCCCGCAGTATCGTGAGAAGTCCTCGGATCTGATTAAAGGCCTCATTTCGGCCAGGAGTATCCAGGTCTCTACATCGCCATGGGCTTCACCGATTGTGGCAATTATCAAGAAGAATGGTGTTGACATACGAGTGTGTATTAATTACGGGTTAGTCAACTACCTGACGAGGTTGATGGTTTATCCCATGCCTTTGATCAACGATCTTCTCGAAGGCTTGGACGCAGTGCTATGGTAATGCTCTCTGGATATGGCCAGTGGTTTGTGGGTGGTGTCAATGACGGATCGCGCCCGCGCGATCTTTGCGTTCATCACTCCCTTCGGACTATTTTGAGAAGAATCGTATGCCCTTCGGTCTTAAGAACGCACCACAGATCTACCAGCGGCTGTTGGATAACGCACTGTATGGATTCTTACGGACCCCTCCAACCACGGGTCATCGATCCGAGATGGATATGTTCCAAGTCGGCCATCCCGAAGATCGGGGACAACCGTCCGTGCTTGGACGTCGATCCTACATCGACGACATCTTCGTAGCCGCGGGATCCTGGGATCACCTGTGTGAACGTGTGACGCTACTGTTGGAGGCCTGCAACAAATGGAATTTGTCGATAAGTGTGGAGAAAAGCTTTTGGGGTTTGCGCAAGGTCGACTACCTTGGACACAGAGTCTCGGATGAAGGACTGGAGGCACACCCGAAGAATCTTAAGGTGTTGACGCACCTCCCCTTCTCAAAGTCACTTCGAGCGATGCAACCATTCCTCGGCAGTCTGAATTACTACAGTCGGTTTGTTGAAGACATGGCGATATATGCGTCGGTGCTGTATGAGTTAAGAGAGGTGGACTTTGCAGAAACAAGGGACAGTGGTCGGATCCAAGGTTGCGGGAAACAACATACGCTGGAGGCAGCCAAGGATCCATCGGATCCGGGCCCGAGACAGTGCGCAGGGGCAGCAGGTCCAGACGATTCTAAGGGTTCGGACCGGGAGTCGACAGATCCTGAAGAAATGGGGATCGGACCCAAGAGGATCCGCGCAGAAGAAGCTTTCGCAACGCTGAAAGCCAATATCGCGACTACGCCGATCCTCCAACACTTTGATCCAAGTAAGCAACCGGAGGTGTTTGTTTATGCAAACGAGTGGGATATATCAGCTTCTTTTATGCAGGATCACGACGGCACTTACATGCCGGTGATGTTCACTAGTCGAACGTTGAAGCAAAATGAGCTGAATTACGGTGTCGTGGAGAAAGAAGTGCTAGCGTTGCTACGTATGTTGGATCTGGGATACTCTATGTCGATTGGCAAAGCGATCAAGGTACTGACGCGCCATTCGACGTTAGCTTCGTTGTTCAAGTCGGCCGGATTGGAAGGGCAACTCAGCCAATGGGCTGCCCTACTGTCACCTTGGTCGATTGAAGTGACGAGGTGTTCTAAAGGCGAAGACGAGATCCTAGGGGCGTTGGCCGCCAGTATTACGCCGTGATCCGAAGTAGATCAAGCCCTGGCTGCTATTGTGCCAAGGAAGGAACCTAGGAGAGCAATCACGGCTCCAGTGCCTACGGTCCGTGCCGACGAAAAACGGCTTGTAGCGAGCTTCGACGGATCCGCCCGTGTGAAGAGGGGTGGAGGAGTCTGTAGTGCAGTGATCTGGAAGTTACCCGAGTGGACGGTGGTCAAAGGCGTCTCACGCTACGCTGACCATCTGACGGTCAATGAGGAAGAGTACAGTGGTTTGTTGTTATGCTTCGACCTCCTTGAAGGGGCGGATCGTCATTTGTGGTGAATCCAACCTGGTGATCCGCCAGATGCGAGGTGAAATAGACTGCAAGGCGCCAAGCCTGACGGTATTGCCCCAGAAGGCGCAAAGTCGCCTCCGCGAGTGGCCAGTGCACGATCTTGTGCAGGTCAAGCGGGAATGGAACGCAAGCGCCGACGGTCTGGCCAGTGCAGTCCTGCAGCGAGAAAGCGGAGTCCGAGTGAAGGGCCAATCGGATCTGGAAGATCTGATCACCTTGAATAGGCTGGACGAGATCCTGATCCCTGTTTCATACGCAACTACAGCTCAGATCAACGCGGTGACTAGGCGCTCTAAGAAAAGGGTCCAGAAGCCAACCATGCTAGACTCAGAAGTGGTGCAACAGCTACGTGTGGATAGGATCCGCCAGGCGTAGGACGAAGAAGTCTGAATCGCCAACCTCAAGAAGTATTTGCGAGGAGAGGTAGAGGATCATACCCGAAAAGAAGTCAAGACCGCTGGCAACATCGCCGCCCATTTTGAGACGGAAGACAAGGATCTGCTGTACTATTGTGCTCCATCAGACAAGACAGAAGCGGAAATAGACGGGCTGCTCTGATTGGTGGTGCCCGAAACGCTGCAGGACGATGTCACGCATCATTACGACGTCAGTTTGGAAGGGGGCATCAAGGGATCAACAGGACTTACCGCAGGATCTGGAATCATTTCTACTGGCGTGGTCTCTTTAGATCGGTGCAGAAGCTGGTCGGCGAGTGCGTAGACTGAGAGACTGGCAAAGGGCGACCCACCATCCGTGGCGGTTCGCCCGGCAACATGCAGGGGAAACACCCTTTCCAGATCATAGCCATGGATCACATATCATCCTTGCCAAAGTCGAAGAAAGGGAACACAGAACTGTTGATATGGGTGGATTTATTCACAGGCTACGTGGTCACTAAAGCTAACAACTCGAGAACCGCGCAGTCGATTGAGGAGGCATACGAGGAGAGTGTGTTCAGATCTTTCGGTGCCTGGGAAGTGATCCGCCATGATCGTGAGCCTGCCTTGATGGCTGACGTCTACCGAGCGTTCAATCGGATCCTTGGTCAGAAGCAGAAGGCTACAGTGGCCTACAGGCCTCAAGCCAACGGCAAGGCCGAGCGAATGGTTCAAACAGTCACACGGGCGGTCAAGATGTACGTCCAAGACGAGGGCAAACATGACTGGGACGAGTATGTAGAGCGTCTGCCTCATACATTGAACACGGCATATGACCGGATCTGAGGGGATACAACTTGCTATCTACGGCGTGGATGGGATCCCAAGACCACGTTAGAGGCACCACTTCAAGCGGGCAACACTGGACACCGAGATGCGAATCCTCGCCGATGGAGGTACAAGATCCAACGCCACTATCAGCAAGGCAGATCCGAGGTGAACGCCCGTCTGAAGAAGGCGATCGCAGATAGAGCAGAACAGCACAATGAAGGAGTGGATCCTCACCCAATTGCGGCAGGATCCCAGGTGTGGTTATTCCTTGATCGGGTGAAGGTAGGCTAAGCAAAGAAGTTGGCGCATCAATGGCATGGCCCTTTCCGCGTGTCAGAGCTAGTGGGAGATTACGCCGCTCGGCCGGAAACCAAGGGGACGGACTACCATCTCTTCCCGGTGGTGCACGAGTCGAAGCTGAAGCCGGTGAAGACTTTCCCGGATCGCCCCACGGAGGATCTGACTGTCGATGAGTCGAATCACCTGGATTTCGACGAGACCCTGTTGCCTGAAGACAGCTGGGATCGCGAACTTGACGATGATGAATATGAGGTCGAGAGGATCCTGGATATGCGTTCAGGTCGTAAGATCCGATATGGACGGACTCTGCGGGAGTTCCAGGTGAAATGGGTCGGATATGATCAGCCCACCTGGGTTGACGAAGTGGATCTGAACTGTGGTGCCCTGATGGCGGAGTTCCTGAGAGACCGATCCAAGAGGAACCGTTTTCAAGCGATGCAATCGCACGATGAGGCGTAGAGTGGTGGTGGATCCGTACTGGTGGGATGGTCATCAGTGCAAAGACGTTGGTAGAAGACATGCGGGAAGGCCGAATACTTAAGGTGGAGGTGGATCCCGACTGGGCAAATTCGTTGCCGGGTTGGGAGGAGCTGGAGATAGTCTGCAGGGAGGCTGCACGACTAGAAGGAGGCGGATCCCCTCCCAGCGAGTTGGCCGCTGGGTCTGGATATATTGGAGAAAGATGTGTGGGGAGGCCACATGTCTAATCGAGAAGGAGGTTTGTGCGTGAATAACCAGCAACCGAAGGAGATTGTGGGTAGATCAGACCGAATCGAATCCGAGATCTAACCCACAAATTGGATGGGATCCGTGGATTGGGTCCTAATATTGGATCCGAAGGCGAATGATGACATGAGAAAAAACTGAATTACGGTGGATAAGAGGGATTCAAGAGGTTACGAAGAAGAACTACGCCAAGGCAGAATTTGAAGAAGTCATCGCACTGGACCGGATCATTTAAAGTACGACTTGAGTCATGCCGGGAGCGAACTTCATGCGTAAGCGCTCGACTTGGTACGACGGGTGGGCGTTACGAACGGATCGGAAGTGGTTACGATAAGCACCAGATTTATCGCAGTCAACCAAAGCTGCATGAAGGTCGACCGGGGGGCATGTCCAGTCGCGATTGCTTCACGCCCAGGGTACCACGTAGTATCATCCGTCTGCTGTGGGAAGCGCATGAAGCGCGAATCCAGCAGAAGATCCAAATCACAACATCCAGTCCGGCCTGCCAAAGCAATTACCCGCTCTTCGAAGACGCGGAACTTCTCTCGAGCGTGAGATCCACGATTCTTGCGCGACCTATAGAACGTCGTCCACCAAGAATCCGTTTGCTTCATGGCCTTCGTGATCAGGAAAGCGTGAGTCGCTTCCCACAGAGCCTGCCGGTGGTCATCTTCCCAAGCGTCATAGAGACTCAAGATCTCACGAATTCCTGTCGACATTACCTGGCCAAAGGTAAGAGGCACCAGATCCGATCTGTGAAGAACCTCCCACGGACGTAGGGAGTAAAGCGCTTTCACGTTTGCCCTCGTCAGCAGACTGGGGACAAACTTGGGGGCAGGCTTGGATCGGCGAACACGTGCTGGAAACATCCATCCAGGAGTCAGGATCTTGCTGTCCAAGATCGCCCACGGAGTTACGGTTGCCAGTGAAAAGCTTCCATGTATCGGATCCCAAGGGATGAGATTCGGGGGGGGAGGGCGCGAGGTTCACGCAGCCCCGGAATGAAATCAGCTTCGGGGCCGTATAGCTGAAGCAAAGCATCACTACCCGTAGAAAGATGCTCAGCCAGGGTTGGATCTATTTCGCCTTGGGGACCCTGCTCCTCATCGGGATCGGGGGACCCGGATCCAATTACGATTGGGTCCGTGGTCGATCCATCGACACTGAACTGGCGACGTCGGCGAGCGTCTGATCGAGAACGCGCTTGTGCCATACGCATCTCCTCGTCGTCGAATGTAATATCCGAGTCTTCGACGGGGACAGAATGACTGCCTGAGTCTGGCGGGGTGCTTGCATCAGCTTCGCCATCAGAAGTGTCTGGGGAGTTCCCATCGTCAGCACCGTCGAATGAGTCCGGGGCCTCCGGATGTTCGTCCCCAACGGGCGGATCCGCAGAGGATCCTGATCTTCGAGAACATCGACGGCCACCTCTGGATCGTCAGAGTCGCTGGGATCCGTCCCAGCGTCTGAAAACTCGTAGTCGTCGTCTTCCTCACCATCATCCACCCAGGTGGAGATAGCTAGACGATCAATGGGCGAAGTGGGAGAAGTCCCCTTTTCTTGTGCAGTGGGATCCGTGGATCACGGCGTGGATCGCGACTTCTTACTGGGGCGATCGTATCCGGTTGGATCAAATCCCCTCGGATCGGATCCCGCTGATCCATCCCGAGTTCGCTTCAAAGAGACTGGGGCGAAACCCGGGAGAACTGTGGACGCGATGGTGGCCAGGCGATCCAGAGCTGAGTCTCTCTCGCCCACAACAACCTCGTACCCCGTCTGCAAGCCCTGGTGTTCGAACACCAGAGAATCTTGCTCGGCCACCAAGTCCTCGAACCCCCCGCGCATGTGGATGTAGGCGTTTTGAATATCGGCGATCTTGTTGAGATAATCGCGCTGGACCGCCTTACACCCGTCATGCGAACTAGCCGCAGCACTGTCGCGAGCTTTGAGAGCATCTTCTCGGTCTTGGGTCGCAGTATCACGTTCTTCGACCAGGCGGCGGATCTCATCTTGTGCCGCTTCTTGGGTACTCTGGTAATCATGTTCCAGATCCGCCACCTTGGTTTGGGCCTGATGTAGCTTCTGCTCAACAGCACGGTAGGCATCATCATGATCCTTACATGCTTACGTACTTCGACTTGAAGCTATCACGAATTCGTACGGTTTGGTCGTACTTCTTCCGCAGATCCATATGCGCGTCTTGAAGGCTAAGGAGGGTGTCGGCAGCTCGAGCACAATCGCGCTCTAACCCGGTGGCCCGACCTAGATCGGCTGCTGCAGCCGTCTCGGCTTCTTTATGCCGCTGAACGGCACGATCCTGCTCTTGGCGAATAGAGTCCCGACAGCTTCGTACCCTCGTCAGATCCTTCTCCAGCTCTCCGATGGGCTCGCTACGAGTGTGGATTTTGAGGCGCAAGCCATCCACAGTCTCACCAGAACGGACGGAGCTCGCCTCATCGTGACTCTGCTACAATTCTTCACGAAGCCGGGCGAGTGTACGCTCCAAGTGCTCGATCTGGATCTGTTGCTTCAAAAGGTTTGTGCCTCATAAAAGTCGCGCACCGCCCGAGCTTGATCACAAGCTTCTTCGGCTTCCGAATACCGCCCTTCCGCGGTTTGAATGTCGTTCGCTAGCTTGTTGGCTTGAAACATGACCCGCTCGATTTCATGGCGGGCATTGAGCAGCTCCCCAGCCACTCCGTGGACCACGGCCTCAGTGGGACTTGTACCGACAGTGATATGGCGCTCCAGCTCGGCTGCGTAAGTCTGGAGCCGGATGTACGCGTCCGTCGTCATAGTTTCCAGCTCGGTATACCGCACGCGGAGTGTATCCAGTTGTTGTGGTTCGTCGCGTTGCCGATCGACAAGTTGCACCGCCTCGGATTCACGCTGGACCGCCTGGCGAAGACGACCTTGGGATACATCATAGCGATGTTGTACGAAGTCCACGAACCCTTGCATTCGGTCCCAGCGAGGCTGAAGCAGCCCATGAAGCTCTTCGTTGTGACGCCGCGCAGCCGTGAGATCGCGTATGGCGCATTGGAAACCATCGAGGAGGGAGTCATAGGACCCAACCATATCCTGGAGCGACAACGCAGCAGCACGTACCGGATCCAGATCCACCACAAACGGAGTTTGGGCAATAGAGGGATCGGACGGCGCATGGTCGCAGTGAGCGCACGGCGGAGGGGCACCCGGTGCCCGACCTTGGCCACTGAATACTGCTTGGTTTGAAGAAGGTCGATCAGACGAGGACCCAGATCCAGCAGGACGAGAGGTGTTGTTGTCTAAAGGGACAGGTTGCCGGTAGTCGCCATGGAGCTTGGAGCAAGAACAGCTTGTCACGGAAATGAACGGAGAAGGAGGGGAGAATGCCAGCAGTGGGGATGTCAGAGATTGTTAACGGTGGTACGCGGCGATGTCGTTGATCAACATCGTCCCTGTCCCAGGGGCGATTGTGGTATTACGCGATGCGGATCGGATGGGAATGGATCCGGCAGTTGACTATCGTGACTAGCCATGCAGACAAGACAGCCAGAGGTCCAGCACAGGGTCAGCTGTGGGACATGCATATGGATCGGGA